ACTACTTCCAAATGTTGTTGAAAGACATTTCCATCCCAACGCAAGCTCTCACGCTTATCAAACATTAGGAGTTCAATATTTTCCTCCTCTTCTAGGTTGTAATAAATCAAGGGGTACTGGCTGGGCTCTGGGTACTAGTTTTTTTTAGGGATTTCAGAGGTTTTGAAGCCACTCTTTTCATTAAAATCTTCTTCTCGTACACCATGGCCACAAAGAATTTTTTTTTGCCTTTTGCCGATGAAAGGGATAATTGGGGGCAGTTACAAGAGGGCACCAGAAAACACACTAGAGATAGGGCCCTTGGGAGACTCTGCTTTATGATGGCAGACCTGAGATTTCACTGTATGCACCTCTGGTTCCAATATTGGGCGGTGTCCTTCCACACACATGTACCCAACACAGCTAGGTAGACCTTTGAGTACAACAAATCTATTTTGGATAGAGATGGGAGTTGACTTTTCATTTGAATTTTGAGATATAACTTTCAAGATTTTGTTGGCATCATACTTTGCTATCCACCATTGAACAATGCACTTCCCAATGAAAGCGGTTATTGATTGCGATGAATGGCTAGGTTTGCTCTGAGATGCATTCAATTCGTAAGGTTTTTGTGTTGTCGTACTAGGTCATCCATTGCTGCTCATAGAGACCCTCATGCTTTGTGCTTCATTGGATTTAGGGACATTCGAATCGGCAGAACTATTGGCATCATTGTTTTGGTTGAAATTGTCATGTGTAGAGCTGATTTCCCTAAAGGTCAAGAGCAAATCGAATAGACCAACTTTCGTAATATAAGAAGTACGACTCTTGACTTCTTTTTTCTCTACTTGAAATTTCTGCGAGTGATACGATGTCTTTGTCCAATAAATATTAGTCAGAGTCCCACATAAGCTGGTAATTTCTTTAAAAACTTCCATCGACCATGCTATAACTGGTATACCGCTCATTGAAAAATATGCATATTTGGGTTTAATGAGAGATTTTTCCATGGCTTGGACCCATTTTACGGCTATCAACTCCACACTTGGAAATCTCTAAATTTTTTATTTTATAACTTTGGCTACTTCATTGCTCGATCTAAGAAATATAGTTTTATTTCTTGGAATACTTCTACATAGGCTAGGGGTCGAAGTCTAGGATTTGTCTACCCATCTCTGAAAAATCGCAATGTCTATACCTTTAGAGAGAAAAGATACGACAACACTAGATTAGATACGTTGGAGTCTATCTTTGACAACATTATCACCTACCACAATCACTAGATCAACACGATGATCAAACCTAGTAAAAGAGCCAAGAATTTGTGCATGCAAATGACCATCCTTAACTTCTTCCTCCTCCATCACTCCTCTCTCCCCGGTTGAAAATTCACTCAAACTTTGATGGAAACGAGTTCTCTTATAAGCAAACTCTCAAACAATTGGTGACTTTTTACCTACCTTTTAACCATAGTAACCATCCAAAATCAGCCACGACCTCAACCTTTTATCAAACACGAACACCCCCTACTCAAGAATCAAATTCTTTTCCTCAGTACTAAAACTCTTTTCCTTTTTGACCCAAACAAAAATCTCTCAATTCTTCTTCTATCTCTAGTGTCTCTCGACCTTATCAAACCTCATGTTTCTTTCTTTTTCCTCTCCTAAGAAATGACACAATTTGAATCTTCTCTCTCTAAATAATGCTCTCACTGCCCACCATCCCAAAGCCCCAATTCCCACAACCAACAATGGCCACCACCAAAACCACCATCATATTCTCTTTCCTCCTCCACTCCCTCTCTCTCTCTCCTCATCCTCTCTCAACTCCCCTTCACCTCTCTCTCTGCTCTCTTTCTCTATTGATCGGGCATTTTACTCTCGCCCTCTTGATCAGGGGCCTCTCTCTCTAGATGGGGGATCTCCACCAGCTGAACCTGATTCACTAATGCGAATGCACCTTTCAAAGTACATCAAAGCGCGCTCTCTTGAAGCGCCCCGTCACCACGTTCTCATAAGAGCGTATTCAAAGAGTGAGATTTATATAAGGTGTCAACTTTATACTACTGAGTACCTCAAAACTTTGTTAAAATGCACTCGTGCCGCAAAATATATGAAATCTATTGTTTCTACCAATTATGAAATTTAAAGTTTAAGAAATGATGATGGTCTAATAGATTTATAAACTTTTGAAAATCTTGAAATTAGACTATTCGAACAATGTGTTAGAAGATGAACTATTTTTAGTATTATAAATCATTTTTTTATTCATGCCTATGAATCTCGAGGTTTGAGATACGGATTTTAGGATTTTCCAGCATAGCATAGGAACAATCTTCTTTAGTGGGTTTTTTAGGTGGACCTTACTTACACAGTATAAAGTTGAAATTTTATATAAATTTTTTCCGTATTTGAATCGACCCTTAAATGCTGTCTACATCGTCTTCACCGTGCTTGTGTGGGAACACACTACTGCACATGTTAATATTTGAACCCCACTTTTGTAGAAAATGCCACCAAATAGTTGCTATTTGACGAGGGGAAGTAGTTTTTGCGTGGAGGAATTGATTTCTACATTTGTATTCCTCGTTGAGGCATAAACCATGCATCAAAAGATGGATACAAGCGAAATCTAAAAAAAAAAAAATGTGAAAGCAATGGCTCAATTTTTCCATCCTAAAAAAATATCATTTGAGAGATGGGGACTTGTAGAAATGGTGT